TTTATGCAGGTGAGGCCTGGGGCCTCCCACAGGGACCCCTGGCCCGGCCCCTGCCGGGATGCCCTCCTTCTCAGGGCCTCTGAGCCTCTGCCAGGATGTTCTTCTTCCCAGGGCTTCCTTCTTGAAGCCATGCTAGTCTGATGGAGTCTGGGGCTCACCATCTCTCCCTCCTCACGCATACTAAAACTGGGAGCCAAACCACGACAGCATAGTGCTCCACTTACCTCCACTTGGCCTAGTAGCCAGGCCTCTGCCGGCCACCCACAGGGCAGGCTGTGCTGCACCTGCGCTGTGGGCTTCTGCCAGGATTGTGGAGCCCCGCCAGTGTGGCCTGTTGTGGCCTCTTGGCCCCTCTGGAGCCTGTGCTTGGGTCTCCTGACCAGCCTGCCACCGAAGGTGGTTACATCACCCAGACGGTCATTGCCTCAGTCCCATGCAGGCTGTGTGCTGGACTTGGTCCCTGCTGACTGAGGCGCTGTGGGGAGGGTGAGAGGCTGGAGCACAGCTGGCTCTTACTTAGGAATGATTCTCCTAATGATTCTGCAAGCCCTGATGGCTCGCAGCCTGCAGCTGGCTTCTCATTTTCACTTTTTTTTTTTGACCAGTCCTGGGGCTTGAACTCAGGGCCTGGGCACTGTCCCTGAGCTTTTGCTCAAGGCTAGCACTCTACCACTTGAGCCACAGTACCACTTTTGGCTTTTTCTGCTTATGTGGTGCTGAGGACTCGAACCCAGGGCTTCATGTGTTCTAGGTGAGCACTCTACCACTGAGCCACAGTCCCAGCCTCTCACTATCACTTTTATTCTGAAGTAACAACAGGTTCCTGGCCAGCTGTCCATGGGACACTGGCTCAATGCCAGGAGGGCGGCTGGGTTTGCGTTGGGGCTGAGAAGGGTTGGCATTCCAATGACCAGGAGCAAGCTCTCCACCTGGAAGGCTGTGACCGGCTCCCCGTCCCAGTGCAGTGTCAGACAAGGGGTCTCCATGAAGCCATAGAGGCCACCGTGCCTCTGGGTCATCAGTCCAGAGTAGTGGGGCAGTGCGCTGACCTGCCAGGTCTACCAGCTGTGTCTCTGGAGAGAAGGGGCCCTGGTGATGATAACCCCAAGGAGCTGACTCTATGCTGTGTGTGGGGCGTGTTACCTGATAGAGTGCCAGACCCTGAGTGAGAAACCCAGTACTGTGGGGACAAGGCTTTTCTGAGGATGGGTGAGACACACTGACAGCTGCAGTGACCATGTGAATCCCGGGATGGTCCAGGAGGAAACTGGGAAGGTGGCAGGCCCCTCCTGTGCCTGGTGGGCCAGACTGGTTCTCCTAGAACCTGCCTTGCCAAAACCCTGCAGGTGTCAGCCAGAGGCTTCACAAGTCTGGAGTGGAGACTTGAAAACAGAACCTGTTTCTCTGGCCTCTTGAAGGCCCCAGTGCCAGCCACTGACCAGAGGTGGTGTGGCCTCTACCCTACTGCCCACAGGAGCTTTTGCAGCTGCTTGGTGTGTTCTCGGGCCTCTGGGTGCCACATGCAACTGTGTTGATTGCTGCCAAGGCAGGCCACTTGAGGGGTACATAGCCTCCCGAAGAGGCTCACAGGACAGGAACCGTGGGATCGCCTGGGAGGGACCTTGGCCACCTGTTTGCCACCGTTTACGTGATACCAAAGCCCAGCCTACAAGTATTAGGTGTGTTGGAGAGGGCTTTCATTTTGTTTTTGTTGGTCATGGGGCCTGAACTCTGGGCCTGGGTTGCTGTCCCTCAGCTCTTCAGCTCAAGGCTAGCACTCTACCACTTGAGCCACAGCACCACTTCCGGCTTTTTCTGCTTATGTGGTGCTGAGGAATTGAAACCAGGGCCTCATGCATGCAAGGCAAGTACTCTACCACTAAGCCATCTTCCCAGTCCCAGGGCTTTCATTTTCCTAGAATTGTGTTTTGCTGGAAGTGAGAAGGCCAAGTCCAGCCACAGTATAGTGTAGGATTATGATACTGGTGTCCAAGACCTGTTGTAGCTCTTGCTTGTAATCCCAACTACTCAGTAGCTGAGATCCAAAGATTTGAGGCCAGTCTGTGCAGAAAAGTCCCTTAAACTCCCACTCCAAAATCACCAGCAAAAATGCCAGGCTAGAGGCATGGCCCAAGTGGTAGACCACCAGTGGAGCAAGCAAGCTGAGAAAGCACCAGGCCCGAGTTCAAATCTTAGTACAACAAAAAGTGGTTGTGGTAATCCAGGACCCCAGCTTCCTTGGAACTGGAGGGATTATCGTAGGCTATTCTCACTGTAGACATTTGAATTTATATAATTGGTTCCAGGTACCACCTCCAGAGGGAACCAGTCTTCCTGAGTCAGACTCAGGGTAGGAAGGGCTCTCAGCACTTGGCCCTCTGTGGCCCTACACCTAGTTCTTGCTCTGATAAGAGGGATTTGCTCTTTTGCTGCCTCTTACCCTTACCTGGCTTCCTTATCATCAAAACTGGAGAAGGTGCAGTATGTATTAGGCCCGGCCAGGTGTGTGTCTCTGCAGAGACAGGCCCTTAGTAGGATCTGCAGGAAAGGCTGGCCACTACATCTTGGCTTGATGGCTCTGCTGAGCCTCCAGGTCCACTTGTGGTGCTATTCTAACATTAAGAAAATTAGCTGGGCACTGGCAGCTCATGCCTATCATCCTAGCTACTCTGGAGGCTGAGATCTGAGGATCATGGCTCAAAGCCAGGCTGGGCTTTTGGCAGGAAAGCCCTTGAGACTCTTATCTCCAATTAATCACAGAAATAGTCATGGCAATGTGGCTCTTGGGGTACAACACTAGCCTTGACCAAAAGGAGCTAAGAGATAGAACCCAGGCTCAGAGTTCAAGCCCTGACTGCCCCCCCCCCCAAAAAAAAAGATCTAGAGAGGCAGACGGGTGACTGGCTGCATCTTCTCACAAAAGCCACAGCCTCAGGCTGACGTGGGATCCTGACCCCTCAGGACACCTAGAGCTCCAGGGCCAGGCAGCCCATCTGTCATGCTCCTGCGAGGAGACAGCTAAGGTAAAGCATCCTGCTGCCGCCTTTTTGGTTCTTAAGCTTCTCTGTCTCTTCCAGAAAATCTTTTCAGAACCGGGGAGCCTGTCCATGACAACCATCTCCAGACTCCGGGAGAGCTGCCGGGCAGCACTGCTGGCCCAGGGCTGAGGTACACCCCACGCTCCCCAACACACAACAGCTTCATGTCCAGACAACCTGCGACCAATTTCTACTGCTCTCCTGGTGTTGTAAATACTGAAGTCTCCGCACTTTGGTGGGGAAGTTTTTTAATTTTTTAAAGAATGATTTAAAATTATGCCATTCAACAGCTTTTGAATTATTAGCTATACCAAAAATTTATTGGAATATATTTTGTCAGAGACATTAGTAATACATACAATGTACAGCATGCATTTGTATTTAATAAAGTGTGCTGCCAGTACTGTAAGCCTGCATTCAGTCCTTCAAGGAGGCCAGCATGTGGTCTGACTTTTCAAGGTGTGTGGGAAGAGCAGGGGGTGTAAGAAGGAATGGGCCTTGAACATAGCCATGGCCAGGTAGGTCAAGGCTCTGGTATGAAAAGTGGTGCCATCTCCAGCTCTTTTTGCTGCCTGCCCTGTGGACAGGGCCAGGCCCAGCCCTAGGTAGACAGGTAGACCAGCAAGGTACAAGTCAAGCTGGGAAGACAGGGTGGAAGCTAGCTGGCCCATGCTACTCTTGAGCTTGCCTGCTTGCCTAGGACTATCATTTGTGACTCCATTTCTCAAAATTGACCTTTTGCTTATAGACCTGGTTTGTCAGTCTCCTCCTGGTCTAGGATGTCTCCTGCAGAGACCATAGGTGACTGTATCTCCCAGGGGGCTGGCTTCCTGCCCTGCAGCTCAGCCCTGCCCCCATCCCAGGGCCACTGGACAAAAGGGCTGAGGTATTAGCTACACCAGGGGCAGTCACCTTCCTGCCAAGGCTATTAGAACCTCATTTGCAGGACATGTGATGATTGGTATAAGTAGATGCCTGTAGAGAACATCTCTGTCCTGTCATATACCAGATGGCCTCACAGGGCCCAGGCCCGTGTCCCCAGAAGCTGCTGCCCCTTCAAGCACACAGCTTGCTTCAGTGCTTGACACCTGCTCTTTCAAAAGGCCATTCTTCACTCTTATCAAGTGCTGGTGTGTACCCATGGGCACCAGGCCTAGACAGCTGGGCAGCCAGCTCCCAAGTGCTGGCCAGGCATGCAGAACTGTTCCCTTGAAGGAGATGCCCAAGAGGCTGATCCACGGCGTTCAGGCTGCCGGCACCACCAATTCTGCCAGCCCTGGGTACTATAGCTCTCTGGACCAAGTATGACTACAAAGACCTTCAAGTCTGGGTCCCAGCAGTGCTGGGCAGAGACCCTTGGCTTCACCTGCCATGCTGAGAATCTGGAGTATAGAACTCTGCATTAGATCAGCCTCTGCTTGCACCTGGAGCACATGGGTGTCTGATGCACTTTCTGAGGTACGGAACGGGGGGTGGGCCTAGGTGTGTGTGTGTGTGCTCAAGGAGCTTTCCATTTTTTTTTTCTCTCATTGCTGGGTATGGAACCCAGCCCTGGTCTACAGTGCTTCTTCACTGAATTCTATGTTAGATAGGAGACTCTCAAGCTTTTATACTTTATAAGCAAGTGGAGAAAGGTGGTCTGAATGGAGAGGTTGGCCACCCAGCTTCAGCTACACCAATAACACACACACTGACAGGAAGGAGGGGCAGGTAGAGCCGCAGGGAAGCTGTGAGCACCAAGCTTCTCCACCCCTTTTAGTGGATCCGTGGTTCTTGTGACATGGAGTGTCCCTGCAGAGACGACATCTGTACAGCTGTAAGCTGAGACCCACCAAGGGATACCACTGGTCAGATTGTAGCACAGGGCAGGCAGCCCTCACAGGCTGTACTCCACGCATAGAGACCCCAGGGGATACAGCCCATGCCATTGATGCACAGGGTGGCTGACAAACACAAGGTCCAGACGGAAAAAGGAGACTTTTTATTAGCATTGTTACAGGCAATGCGTTAGGTGTGAGCCGATCTTCAGTGTACAACCTCCAGCCACCACGGCTACACTGGCGGAGTGAATATTCTTGTACACAGTGCAGAAACAGGGTCGTCCTGAATGCCAACAGAAGACTGAAAACCACTTTACAAAAAGTAAATAAAAAACGCCCCTTTTATACTAAAAAAGTACCAGCTCACAGCTGGCAGAATGTGGGAGACATCTGATGGTCCCCCACATCTAACAGTGCAATCTGGGCGTCCAGATGTTCACGCCGAGCGCTTCTGCTTTGTCTTCAGTTCTTAAATGTGAAGGCTTAGTGATCAGCCACCCTCCATCAGTCCCCAGAGTTCAGACCAGAGATTCCCTTTGTAAGGCTTAAATCTGAGCAAAGAATGAAGAAACCAAACACCAAATCTTAAAACGTCGAATGAGAGTTGAGCCTGTGCCAATTCAGAAAAGCACTCTTGTCCTCCTTTAGAGTTCTACTTTGGTAATATTAACATTTAACCAGTTAGCAAAATATTTAACCCAGTTAGCAAAATTAACACCATCATTTCAATAGTTACTCCTCTGTGCATAGTAAATGTTGCAAGATGAACTTCACATTTGATAAAGCAGATTTGAAAACAGTTTGCCAGAAAGTATCATCCCCTCCCATTCACCTAAGCACGGGGACCAGAGCACAGACCCCGCAGGTCCGCACAGCGCCTACCGGCCGGCTAGATGGTCTGATAGCCGGCATGACTCCTCTTCCTGCCAATGAGGTAGGCGATGAGGACGATGAGGACCAGTCCCGCCAGGGCGCCACCCACAGCGATGGGGATCAGCATGTTGTTCCCGTCCAGCAGACACTCTTCCACTGCAAGATAGACAGCAGGTGGTGCTGTGCCACGCAGCCCCAGGGAGCAGGCAGTTTGGGATGGTGGTACAGGCCACTGTCCCTTGGAGGAGCTCACAGGTGAGCACTTTCTACAGGGCTGGGAACTCCAGACTAGCGGATAGTCCACTCCAGACAGTGTGGATGCCACACTCAGGCTCCAGACCAATTCAGAGCACTCAACACCTTAAGCACTACCTCCAAGGACATCCTGCACCCCATCCTAGCCCTTCAGGGGGTCCTCTCCAGAATCTTCTGGGGAGACAGGGCAGGAGTGAGCCTCCATGTCCTCATGCCCATGTAGAGGCCAGCCAACCCCCATAGGATGGCGTGGCCCTCTGCTGCTTTGCATATGGTGCCCTCACATTACTCACCAGACCCGAATCTGTCCCCGTCCACTCTGAATGCCTGCACCCACACACTGAAGATGTTGAGGGAGAAGGCTTGGGTGACGTATAGTCGCTCCTCAGCGTTGCACTTGTAGGAGTTCCCGACGGTGGCCTGCAAGGCTCGCAGTGTGTTGTTGGAAGCTTGGAACATGGGCACTGCAAGGCAAGGAAAAGTGTGAGCACCGCAGCCGTTGGCACAGGGCCAACAAGGATCAGGGGTGGTGAGGAGGGGGGCTCACCTTCGGCATCAGGAAGAGTAATGTTCAACCCGACTCCTTGCAGGAAAAACTGGCTAGCACTTGCATTCTGAAAAAGCAGGGGAAAGTCACTAGCCACGCAGAAGACCTCCACCCAACCACACACACAGGCAGACTCTCAGGGTCCAGTGTCAGAACAAAAGGCCCATCACTACACATACAGTGTGCCATGACGACAACGAACCCTTTTCTTAATGTACAGGGAAGTTCTATATGCGGTCCCAGTGCAGTCAGCTCACCTGCACAGTGAAGTCAAGTATTTAAACAGTCTGATAACCTCTGTCAACCTGTCTAGCATGTGTCAGGCCCTGGCCATATTTGTTGGCATCACAAAGTTAAAAAAATGTACCACTGGGGGCTGGGAAGGTGGCTCAGTGGTAGAGCGCTTGCCTTGCATGCAAGAGGCCCTGGGTTCGATTCCTCAGCACCACATAAGCAAAAAGAAAAAAGCCGGAAGTGGCGCTGTGGCTCAAGTGGTAGAGCGCTAGCCTTGAACTGAAGAGCTGAGGGACAGCGCCCAGGCCCAGAGTTCAGGCCCCACGACCGGACCCAAAAAAAAAAAAAAATGTACCACTGGTGTTAAATCCTCTCTGTTGCTGACTACAGCTGGCTCATCCTTGGACACAGTTGAGGGTGATAAGATGCAGGCATTGGGCGGAGGGCAGCAGCATCAGACCCCAAGAAACCAAGAGCTCAGGTATCAGTGACTCACTGTGCTACCAAGCCAGGCCTGGCCACACTCACCTGCTACTCTCTGTAGCCACCCCAAGCATCTGGCCCATAACAGGCCCTCCCACAGTGCCTGCTGAGGGGACTCAGGTCAGTCCTGCGCAGGGCGGCAGCAAAGCTGGAGCCGCGCCATTGAAGGCAGTGTGAGGGCTGCTCTCCGCCAGTTACTCTCCTATCTGGACACCCATGGCAACTACAAGCTCATTAAGGAACAGGAATCTCAGTCCTGAAGGTGGCAGGAAGAAGCCGCCAGTTAATGTGCCCGGATAGAGCATAGAGCCTCACCATGCCAAACTGCAAGGTCAGGAAGAACCCCTCCTCGCTGTGCAAGTTCAGGACCACCATCTGGGCACCACAGCTCCCAAAAGCTCTGGTCTGGTTTGGGTTGATGTTGAACACTCGGACCACAGTCTAAAAAGAAAAGCAAACAAGTCAGCCTGCCAGGCTGCAGGGCTGTCCACCCTCACCTTCTTCCACACAGGGAGCAGTCCTGAGTGATGGCACTGAGACCAGCACTCTGCTCGGTTAGGACATGGCAGCCCACAACCCCCAGAGGCCCACAGCCATTTGCTGTAAAACTCACCCACTCACCTCATTTTCTCCCACCCCAAGGCAGTGTTACTTTGAGGAGAGAAACAGTTTCTGAACAAGAGCACAGCTGAGGGTCACTGCACTTTTCCTGTCAGGCGTCAGGCCAGTACTGAAGCTCCTGGGTGGACGGCCCTGCCCACCCAAGCTCTGGGGCAGTGGATGAAGTCCCACACCAGTGCCAGCCCTCGCTGGCCTCTGCCCTGCCTGGCTGAGGCAGCTGGGCACCGGCCCAGAGTGGCACTCCTACCGTGTTGTCTTTCCGCCCGTAGGTGAGATTCAGCTGCAGCCCCATGCTGGCCAGCAGGCAGGTCCCGTTGGTGCCGCTCACATTGTACCTGGACACCGAGGGGCTTGTGGGCCCAGCTGTGGGTGCTGGACGTGGAGGTGTGGTAGGGGCGGGAGGTGCAGGAGCTGTGGTAGGTCCAGGAGGTGCTGGAGGTGTGGTAGGCGCATGAGGCGTGGTAGGCGCATGAGGAGTGGTAGGTGCAGGAGGCGTGGTGGTAGGAGAGGGCTTGTCCTGCCTGCAGTGTGTCTCTGTGGGGAGAGGAAGTGTATGTGGATGGCGTTCCAATTCCTGCTTGCTGCCAACCACCAGCTGCCTGCGCAGTTTTGAGTGAGCAGGCCCACTCATCCTTCTGTATTCCTGCTGCAATCCCTGCCGCCCGCCCCCATACCACTCTCTCCAGCTTTGGTAAGTGCTCATGCCTCCTTAGGGGCACTGGATGGAAGCTCTCAGCAGCAGGAATGAGAGACCCAAGGCACCTTCCATCCAACTCTTTGTAGCTCCTGAGCACCATTCTCCTTGGCTCAGACTGCACACAGGGGCAGTGAGCGGTGATTTCTCTGCAGGACATCCTCCCCGCCCACAGGGCTAGGGGAAGCCCTACCTGCCACACTGGTCGGTGAGGACTGCAGGATGATCCTGAAGTCTGCCCTGGCACTGATTCTATCCTAGTGCCAAAGCGTGCGGTGGAGTGGAACAAACAAAACCCCTTGGGGATAAACTCAACTGAGGAGGTAAAGGACCTCTACCAAAAAACCCACACAACTTCCAGAAGCCAAGCACTGGTGGCTAGCGCCTGAAATCCTAGTGTGGGAAAACTGTATTGAGTACATTAAGCCAGGCTCAGACAGACACAAGACATGTTTTCTCGTCTATGTGGAAATGAGACTTAAAACAACATAAAGGGCCATGAATGCATGTACATGACCAAACTGACTGAAGGACGGTACGCGTAGCACTGTAACCTGTTGGAGCAGTCAACAGTTCAATGAGTATAAAGAGCTGTTAAAGATTGAATGGGGGCAGATGAATGAAAAGAGGGGTGGCAGGCAAATACAGCCAGAGCACCCCACATACATGCACAAAAATTGAGTGAGAAAACCTGAGACAGGTGGAACGTGACAGACAAGAGGGGAGGGGACAGAAGGGCGCTGTGGCTCAAGTGGTAGAAGGCTTGCTTGAACTGAGGAGCTGAGAGACAGCACCCAGGCCCAGAGTTCAATACCCAAGACCAACAACAACAACAAAAAATAAAAAACAATAACAACAATAAAACTCCCCAAAACATGTCCCACTTGGAATCTTGCAAAAGGCTCTTAGAAGCAAAAGGTGGCATTTAGCGTAGGAGGCAGTTAGCTATGAACTCAAAAGTGATCTGAAGAGTAAAGTCCTTCTTAAAGACTTTGCCCTTAAAAATTAGTGCATTAAAAATTAGCTGCATTTCAACTCAGGCTTCTCTCCAGCTATCAGCCATCTGCACACAAGCCCTGGTCTTTAGGTCCCTCTTCTTGGGAAGTGGAAACACCCAGGACCCATGCCCAGGCTGATGGGGCCATGCAACCAGGCATATGTTCTTTCAGAAGCAGGACAAAGTCAACAGGCCAGACAGACTCTCCAGATTCTTGCAGCATTTGTTGATGGCCCCAAGGCAGACTGCTGGGCCAAGTCCAGTGACCTGTGAACTTGTAACTGAATACAGCTCCTAGCACTGGCCACTGCCAAGTGCCCGAAAGGATGGCAGCTGTCTGGACTGCAGCCGTCTCCCCACCAAGCAGACCCAGCCTGGGCTATCTGGGGGCAGTGGAAGGCTTGGGTCCCCTCTAGGCTGGGAAAGGGGGACTCTGATGACTGGATGTATGCAAGGACACTCAGTCTCGCACAGATCACACTTCCTCAATCCTTCCAAACAGGGACAATTTCCAATCTGACTCATGGGACTTAGGGAGAATTTTCTTAAGTAACTGTAAAACAAATTGGGGAGGGAGGCCCTAAGGGAAGAATGAGAACACACATGAGAAAACAGTAAGCTCCATTTGCTACTCTTATCAGGCCCTAAGCACTTTGTACAAATTTTCTTCAAAGACAGGCTTTGACTACTTACAAATAATAATAATAATAACAATAAAAAAACTGCACTTGTCAATACCAGGCAGTGAGGAGGTCTAAGGCCTGGCCACTGCTGGTCAGGAGGTGTAGACAGGTTAACTATTCTGTCAATGCCAGGTAGCGAGGAGGACTAGGACCTGGCCACTGCTGGTCAAGAGGTGTAGGCCAGGGGCTGTCACTTCCTTACAAGGAGATGCAAATGGTGACTCTTCTGCACTTGCCCAGGATGGGCTGAACTAGGCTGGACTGAATGGAAGACACCCAGGAGGCAGACACAGGTTCAACACAGGCAAGGATTCAACTGCTTTGCTTTTCTTCCACTCCCATCCTCCTGAATGAATGAGTCTGGGATGTGGCTCAGTAACACAGGACTTTCCCAGCATGTGTGAAGCCTAGGGCTCTATCTTGAATGCTGGGAAAAAGTGTGTATTTATTGTACATGTAAAACATGTTCTTGTTGTAGAATGGTTAACATGACTTAATGAACATATATCCTGTATATTGCTTTATGTATCTCCTCATGTTTTACAACAAGAGCTTCAGTATTGACTCTCTTGCCCAACTGCAGCTTTGTTCTCCGTCCATTTCCACTCTGCCTCCCATTTCCAGAAGTAATGCTTCCAGATTCCATGAGTATGTGCCCCGTCTTTGTGTGTGAGACTCCACCCTTCCAGTGAAGGTGTGCTCACCCCAGGTGTGGGAAAGTTAGCTCAACATAAGAGTATTTGTCTGGCATGCACAAGGCCCTGGACTGCACACTTAGAACCAAGAGTAGAGGAGTGTACACCCATGTACACAGGGGGTCATCTTCTGCAAAGGGAAAGATTTCATAGTTTTGCAAACACACTCTCTCTACACACACACACACACACGTGCGCACACACGCTAGAAGCAGGCTATCCATCGGGCCAGTACCTACCTCCCTGGCTGAAGTTGCTGTTGGACAGGTAGGCTTGGATGGTGGCATCCTTGAGTGTGACGACCACACCATGCATGTGGATCTGCATGGCATTGACACACCGGTACTTTTTGTCAATGTCTGCTTTGATGTCAGTGAAGGACTCCTCAGACTGACTTCCTGTACCCAAGCACAAACAAAAAATTAAAACGAGAGAAGTAACTGTGAACAACCTGTGTACTTAAGAGTGACCCAAGATGACCTTAGATCCCAACTTTGTATCTTCTCATAGTGAGTGGTCAGCTCTGGTTCTTACCCTTGGAGCTGGCGTTGGGGAAAGTTTTCGTGTCTGACATGTTATAAGTGAAGCGCATGGTCTGGACTTGGTAACGTGTTGCATTTCTTGTGAAATTGAAAGTCAGTGAGTATCCTCTTCCAAAAGCAATTGTGAGACTGGGGTCAGAAGATCTCCCTCCACAGGAGCTGCTATTCAGTACTTCAGCAGAGGGGGGCAGGCTGATGGACGCATTCTAGAACAAACAAAGGGACACAAAAATACAAAAGCAAAGCCCACACTAGTGGTACATGGTTATAATCCTAGTTACTCAGAATGCTGGGACCCAGAAGGTGATGGTTACATGCCAGCCTACCCAGAAGAGTCAGAGAGACTCCATCTCCAAACTAACCAGCCAAAGCTGGGCTGGGAGTGGCTTAAGTGGTAGAGTGCTAGCTAGCTCAAGCAAGCATAAGGTCCTGAGTACATGAAAAAAGAAAAAGAAAAAAGAAATAAAAAGCTGGGTGCCAGTGGCTCATGCCTGTAATCCTAGCTACTTAGGAAGCTGAGATCTGAGAATCATGGTTCAAAGCCAGCCAGAGCAGGAAAGTCCATGTGACTCTTATCTCCAATAAACCACCAGAAAAACTGGAAGTGGCAGATGACTAGCCTTGAGCTGAAGAGCTGAGGGACAGCATGCAGGCCCAGAGTTCAAGATCCACCACTGACAAAAAATAAAAATTAAATAAAAAAAAGTTAATATCAAAGAAAGAGATCTTCCTTAAGTTGGATTTAACTGAGGGTAACTCAATTCCATCTCAGATATTAATGTTAATATATTCATTAAAAAAAGCCTGGCACTGGTGGTTCACACCTGTAATCCTAGCTACTCAGAAGTCTGAGATCTGAAGGTTGTAGTTTGAAGCCAGCCTGGGCAGGAAAGTCTTATCTGCAATTAATCATAGAAAAAGCTGGAAGTGGCTCTCTGGCTCAAAGTGGTAGTCTTGAGCAAAATGAGCTCAGGGACAGCATGCACACTCAAAGTTCAAGCCCCAGGACTGGCAAAATAAAATAAAATAAAATTACTTGATTCATTCTTTGCATATATGTAGGACACAGTACAATTTAATACAGCTATACAATTAGGATGATTCGAAACATCTTTTCTATGGGCTGCAAACCTCCAACTCTAAGTTCCTTTGAAATATATAATTAGAGCTGGGAATGTGGTTTAGTTGTAGAATGCTTGCTTAGCATGCATGAAGCCCTGGGTTTGATTCCTCAGTACCATATTAACAGAAAAAGCCGGAAGTGGCACTGTGGCTCAAGAGGTATTGTGCTAGCCTTGAGCAAAAGAAGCTCAGGGATAGTGCCTGGCTCTGAGTTCAAGCCCCAGGACTGGCAAAAAAAAAGAAAAAAAAAGAAAAAAGAAATACATAATAAATCATGGTAGGCTACAGTTCTATAAGGAATTCATTTTAATGTAAACAACAAAACCCACAAAGTATTAGATGTTAGTAACAGACTGGAAAGTAAATTAAGTCTAAGGGAAAGCTGATTTAATTATTTGTAATTTAAAATTCTGCTTCTATTCAAATAGAAAAAAGACAACCAAAAGTTGTCTTGAACATAATTTCTTTTTTTTTTTTTTTTGGTGCTGGTACTGGGGCTTGAACTTAGGGTCTCATACTCTCGCTTGGCTCTAGGCTCTAAAATGTCTTGAAATTCAGTCTATATCCTGGGCATCAAGACCAACTCCGTCCACCATCCATCTCTCTCCCCATTCCCTGCAACATACTTTTTTCCTGCTCTTTGCTGCTCTTTTCCAGTCCTGAGGTTTGAATTCAGGGCCTGGGCACTGTCTCTGAGCCTTCTGCTAGTGCTCCACCACTTAAGTCACAATTCCACTAATGGCTTTTTGGTGGTTAGTTGGAGATAAACACCTCACAAACTTTACTGCCAGGGCTGGCTGCAAAATATGATCCTCATCTCTTAGCCTCCTGAGTAGCTAGGATTACAGGTGTGAACCACTGGTCCCCAGCTTATATTTATTTGAAAAAAAGCTGTCACTACATTTTTGTACAGAACTGTTTGTTTAAAGATAATGATTCTAGCCTGGTATGGTAACATATGCCTGGAGCATCAAGGGTTCAAGGCCAACCCGGATTACGTAGTGAGTTCTAGGCCAGCATGGGTTATATCCAAAAAGTATCACAAAACAACAGAAACAAAAAAGAATAACTCTTTAAACAAAAAAAGATGTTTACTACTAAACTGCTGGAATTTACTAAGAAAAACAAAGAATTGTAAACCACTGATGTCTACTATATGATCAAGGTTGAAAAGAACTAAAGTAAGGAATGATATTAATGTTACCCTAAAAACAACATGGAATCAAAGAAGGTGAATATGTTGTGAAATTATAAACCACATGACTGCATATAGATGATTCCATTTGTCACATAATTTACAGGTAACAACTATTTTTTTAAACCCATTCCCCAAAACCAAATACAGTGCGTGTGTGGATGGACATGATTTACTCTTGTAGCTGGATGACAGGCACACGCCAAGATGCCAGCTTCTTTCACTGAGTTGAAATCTCACCAACTTTTTTCCTTGGCTGGCTTGGAATAAAACCTTCCTGTCTTAGCCTCTGAGTGCCTGGGAGGGCAAGCCCTAGTCACAGTGCCTAGTATTAATTGAGGCAAGCCCAGCAAAATTTTTGCCCAAGCTGGTCTCAAATGCTGATCCTCCCAATCTCAGTCTACCCATAGCTAGAATTAACACACTATATTCAGAGAAAAAGAATTTAAAGGAAAATTAACCAACTACCTATAATCAGGGGAGTATACAGCAAATTGTGATCATGAACAGGATGAAGTACTGCCCTGTGATGAAACTGGAAAATGCGACAACAGTAAATGCCAGATAAAAAGGGTTTACAGTGGCTCAGTGGTAGAGTGCTTGCCTTGTATACATGAGGCCCCTGGGTTTGATTCCTCAGCACCACATAAGCAGAAAAAGTTGGAAATGGTGCTGTGGCTCAAGTGGTAGAGTGCTAGCCTTGAGCTGAAGAGCTGAGGGACAGCCCCCAGGCCCAGAGTTCAGGCCCTACAACCGACAAAAAACAAAACAAAACAAAACAAAACAAAACCAGGGTTTGCACTCTGACTGTAGTTGTGGGACTCCTGAAATGTGCTCATGTGAGCACCAACTTTAAAGAGTATCAGACAGCTGGTGTCTCTTACCCGAGAACCATGCTCAGTCTCGTAGCTCATCAAGAAGTTAGCAGAGAAATTGGCCATTATGCAAGTCGTTCCATTGCTGTCTTTCACGGTGAACACTGCAGAGGCACCATGTGCAAGTCCCGCTGATTCCAGTAAAGAAAGAAACATAGTTGTATGGAAGTTCAACTGGGGTTTGCAACAGCAACAGACTTTATGAGAGGACGCCACTTTACCAACCACTGAAGAACTAGACTGGTGGATATGCAGGCTGGCTCTCATATGGGCATTCCACCTCCCCGGATGTTGTTCTGAAATCGGGATTTCTAAGCCTTCACATCAGTTTGCTAGCCCAGCTTACTGTTACTTGGTACTTTAAAATTTTAGAAGCTGCACAATATTTCAAACCTCAATTTCTGGGCCAATCCTAGGCGTATGCAGTTCTAGCTCCTCAGAGGATCTATCTGTAAGATTTGGTGGGGGCTTGGACCACAGCTCAGTCTTAATATCAACCCTCTACAGAAACTGATGGAGAGGAACACCTGTCACTGTGGTCCTAAACCTGGAATTTATGTTTGTCTTTTACTTCTCAGGCACCAGTGGTGTGCTAAGAAAAGCCATGGACTCAAAGGACCTCAAACACAGTGGTCCCATTTAACTCACATAAGGCTGAAAAATTTCACCACACCTTCAACCTGTCAGATGGGGTTGTGCTGTCCAAATGTCCAAGAATGCATACCAGTTCTACAGGTCTTTTTTGGCTACAGCTGTCACTGTTGAGTATTTCCTTTCTGGCTTCTTTAACAAATCTCACTGCCATGATCAAGATGCCTCACACCAAATATAATATGATCACTAGTAGAAAAACAGTATTTTGATGAATCATTAAAAAATATATATATATAGTTCATTTACAGACTGGCAAAAAATGTTTTGGCTAGCTCTGAAGCCAAACACACCTGTTGGCTACTACTGTGTGAACTATCCAGAAGACAGCAGCCCTTCATTTGTCCTGCTGCTATAAGCCTGTGCATTTCCTTCCATGACTAGGGTCTGCACTATCAAATGTCTATCCCTCTAAAGAGCATTTACACTCTGGCTGCCCAACCAAGTCACTCCATCACTATGTATTTACACACATACACACACACGCAGAGCCTCATTTGTCACTCTAAGTGTAAACATGACTCAAACATACTTGGGAAATAGAATCCTCAAAGAAAGGACACTCAAGACACTCAACTTCTCATTTAAAATTCTATTCCCCAGGAAAGTAAATGGACTCCAACTATTTCTACTCTAGGGTGGAATTAAACATTAGTCTTGCTGTTATTTGAGCCTAGAGTCAAGAACTGAATTAGAAGTCTCACAACCTTCCCTTCCTATAGGCCTCTGGTACAGAGAATACAAAATCTATATTCATGAGCAAAGTTGCTCGATGAGGATGAAGCAAACTGTGGTCCACTTCTGGAAGCCTATGTAATTGATCATGTTTTGCTTTTAAATCCATATCCTGAAATATTCAGGCAACATTACACTAAAAGCATTTCCAACAAATGAATTACACTCTGAAAAAGAGATGATTCCACAGCTTATTTTCAACACCGTGAAGGTTTTTAAAAATAGAATATCCTCACGTCTGTTTGTGAGGGATAGCAGGAGCATAGCAGAGCTACAGAAGAGTCACAGCAGGGCCAGAGGAGGGCAGAAGTGGCAAACAACTATGGAGGAATGTGCACTGAAACTAGAGGAAAGACTGAAGCTGGTCCCTGTCCAACCCCACCTTGGCCTGAGCTATCCTTAGCAGGAAGATTCCAGAGACCATGGATGCCTACATGGGAACACATCCAGGCCAGCCCTTCCTAACTGTCCTTTCATGAATTATTAAAACAGGAGTTTTACCCCACCAGAAGGCAATTCTGGACAAGAGTAAAAAAATCACCGAAAGCATTAGAACATAGGATTATGAGAAAAATATATACTAATGGTCAGATACCTTAAAAAATGAACTCCAGGGCTGGGAAGGTAGCTCAGTGGTAGAGCGCTTGCCTTGCATGCCTGAGGCCCTGGGTTCGATTCCTCAGCACCACATAAGCAAAAAGAAAAAAGCCGGAAGTGGTGCTGTGGCTCAAGTGGTAGAGCGCTAGCCTTGAGCTGAAGAGCTGAGGGGCAGCGCCCAGACCCAGAATTCAGGCCCCACGACTGGACCCCCCCGCCAAAAAAAAAGAACTCCATTAATAGAGGCAATTGGTTTTGGGAGAAACAAAAATACCCTTCAAATCAAAGTTGGATGCTAGCTAGTAGCTTACACCTGAAATCTTAACTACTGAGGAGAGGCTGAGATCTGAGGATTGTGGTTTGAAGCTAGCCTGGGCAGAAAAGTCTCTATGGAACTCAATGATAAACTACACAAAAAAGCCAGGAGTGGTGCTGTGGTTCAAGTGGTAGGATGCTAGCCTTAAGCAAAAAGAGGCTCAAGGACAGTGCCTTGGCCCTGAGTTCAAGCCCCAGGACCAGCAAAAAATAAATAAATACAAAATAAATAAAAATCCTTCAAGTCAGTTAAGATTTGACAAGTGTCAAGGGCTCAACCTGCCTGATGACTACTAGTTCTGTCCTTAACTCAAAAACCAATGTAAGCTGGGCACCAGTCAGTGGCTCATGTTTGTACTCAGGAGGCTGAGATCTGAGGATATCATGGTTCAAAGCCAGCCCAGACAGAAAAGTCCATGGAACTCTTTTTTTTTTTGAGGGGGGGGGTCAGTTGTGGGGCTTGAACTCAGGGCTTGGGCGCTGTCCCTCAGCTCTTCAGCTCAAGGTAAGCACTCTACCCCTTGAGCCACAGCACTACTTCCAGTTTTCTAGTGGTTTATTGGAGGTAAGAGTCTCATGGATTTTCCTGCCCGGGCTGGTTTTGAACAGTGATCCTCAGATCTCAGTCTCCTGAGTAGTTAGGATTGCAGGTGTGAGCCACCAGCACCCGGCTAGTCTGTGGAACTCAAACTGGAAATGGCACTGTGGCTCAAGTGGCAGGGCACTAGCCTTGAGATGAAGAGCTGAGGGACAGCACCGAGGCCCAGAGTTCAGGCCCCACAACCAACAACAGCAGCAGCAGCAACAACCACAAAGCCAATGTACTCAGTTCTTCAAGGTGACAGAACAGAGCAACTTCAAAATATTCCCACTTGTAGAAATCCTCTTCTCTGAAACAAGGGCATGCGACTGTGTTATAGACGCCAGTCTACCACTAGCTAGCTTCTACCACTTAAGTAGCCAGCAGCAACCCTAATCATCAGTTTATTACCCGAGGAAGGAAGGGCGCAAACACCACAGGAGTGTCGGAACATCTCACCAGGCAACATAGTTGAGCATCTGGTGGAGGGCAGGGGCACTGGTTCCAAGCTAGCCTTTTCTGCTTAAGCTCTCAGCTCCTACAGGAGCAGTGTCTGTGCACTTTTCACTGCTGAGTACAGTCCTGGCAAAAAGTACATAAAAGTGTACTATTTAAAAAACACTTTGTTTTTGAAGGGTGTCTCTGATTTTATTGACCTAGCTGGCCTGCCACTCTTGGACTAAAGCCTAAGCCACCCTACAGATGGCTTAAGCACCTGCAATATACTTACTTTCTGACAGCTGTTGTTCAAAGCACATGGCAACCCTAATAGGTGTATTTCCCCTGTAGAGGTAGAGATCGGCAGAGATGCTAGCCACTTATCAAGGTCACACAGAAGGAAGCAGTACAAACCTGCTTCCACATTTGGCCACAGGCTGGCTCAATGCATATCCCGGGCCTGACCTTGCAGCCATGCAGCACTGGGAAGAAAACATGCTTCCAATTACAAGACACTTGCACTGGACATAAAGACCTGTCATCTAGGAAGTGGAGCTGGGCTCAAGTGGTAGAGTGCTGGCCTTGAGCTGAAGAGCTGAGGGACAGCACCCAGGCCCAGAGTTCAAGCCCCATGACCACCAACAACAAAAAAGACCTGCCATCTTGAGGACAGAACACACAACCTTGATCAAGATGCACTATACTCATAAACTGACATGCTGAACTGAAATCCTCTGAAAAGTTTAATTAATTTTCATAAGAAATCATACCCTAGCTTGTTCTGGCATTTTTTAAATTGAGCATTTTTCTTTTTAACAGCAATACACACTCACTTTCACCCCGACACTGAACCAAAACATCTAGAGGCAAGGGGCATGCACACACGCATACACATATATGTATATTTGGTTAAGAAATATGTTTGTGTGTATATCTGCATGCATATAAGTATTAAGAACTACATATACATACACACACATATATACATACACATATTTACATAGCAACTAATTTTTTTTGGTTAAGAACTGTATACACACATATATTTCTAAACAGTTGGTTTTGTCTATCTGGTTAAATTTGGACATTTGCTCATGCAGTTCTGAACAGGTGTTAGTATGTCAGGCATGGATCAGGTTCTAAGTTGAAGAATGATAACAGCCACCTAAAAACACAGTACAGGTCGGGTGCGGGTGGCTCAACCCTGTAATCCTAGCTACTCAGGAGGCTGAGATCTGAAGATCTCGGTTCAAAGCCAGCCTGGGCCGAAAAGTCTGTGAGACTCTTATCTCCAATAACCCACTAGAAAACCGGAAGTGGCTCTGTGGCTCAAGTGGTAGAACACTTGCCTTGAGCTGAAAAGCGCAGGGATAGCGCCCAGGCCCAGAGTTCAAGCCCCACAAAGGACAAAAAAACAAAAAACAAAAAAGCACGGTACAAGTGACCTAGTGTTCCAGCCCAAGTTAAAAGTCTGGGAGGTAACTTTCTGGGGTGGATCTAACCTAACACAAATTCAAAATAATAGTACCACAAAAAGTTTGACCTGAAATCTAGTAAAGAATTTAGTCTGAATAACTAAGCAAGTCCATAGTTGAGGCAACTTTAATTAGCATAAAGTTAATTCAACTTCTGGAGTCAAGCGACAAGTCTTCACCTGGAAAGAGGAAGAAAGCCATCTACTGACCTCAATGTTAGAGTCCCATATGAAATTAAATATTACATCCTAATTTCGGTTCATGTATTTGTGCTTTCTATGAAGCAGACATAATGGCAGCTTTTGACAATTTTTCCAATTTGCTGGCTATTTTGGAGATGTTGTCTCTGGGGCTCTTCCACCCCATCTCTGAGTAACTAGGAATTACAGACATCAGCCACAGAACTCAGCTAATTTCTAGTTATTAATGTAGAAGCTGTAATTTGAAAGTCATTTTAGTGGGGGTGGTAGGTGAGAACAGCGAGAGGGGTGACATGGATCAAGATGCACTGTACCCATCGACTAGCTTCTAGACTTGAAAATCCTTAACAACTAGAGATTATTTTAACAAAACGAACTCACGACGACACCTAACGTGGACCTAAACGCAAGCTGTAAAATGCCCTTTGTAAGAGTTGGATTATTAAATGTGAAGCCTGCTCCTTTTCTAGGTTACGACTATCAGAAGTGGTGGGTTTTCTCTCCGTTTTAAAAGTGAGTCTGAAAAAACAGCCAGCTAAATGTGACCGTTGCGAGGCAGGGGTTCCGTCCCCAGCGATAGCCAGACTCAGGGCCTTAGAACAGGGCTGGCCGCCGCGGCACCGCTGCCTGCGTTCCCGGCCTTTACAAGCCCTTCGGAGAACAAGGCGGCAGTTCTGACCGACAGGGCTCGGCTCCGCGACTCCTTTTCTACGACACAGGGGTGACACTGACCCCGGGGGGGGGGGTGACATCGGCCCCGGGGATGACCCCGCCCTGGGGTGACGGCGCGGGGCTGGGCCTCAAGCCCACAGTCGCCACCACCAGCTCTTCTTTCTCAATGGCAAGCGTTTCACACACGGCTGCACAGAAACGGGAAACCAACCCATGCGGTCCCGATAGGAGTCCGGGCCGGCGTGGGGCGCGGGGTGTCCGGGAGCACTCCGGGCACGAGTCCCGTGAGCGCCAGCCCGGCTCACGTGACCCGCCCGCCCGAGGCCTCCACGGGGCTCGGGAGGAGCCGGCCGTGCCGGGTCGGGGACGGGAGGCTCCCTTCTCGGCCCCCATGGGCGCCGAGCACAACGCTCGGGGACAGAAGTCGGCGCGCGCGCCTCCCGGCCGCGTAGGCCCCAACCCCCG